AAAAAACATGTTGTTAAATCCTTATTTAAATTGGATTTATTATTCATTTTTTTCATAGGTAAAATACTTATTTATTATTTAAGTAAATATTTTACCAGAGGATTATTCATTTTATATGATGATCTCAGCATGATCATCATCAACTGGTAACAGTTTGTGGGTGCGTTCGTTAATAGCGGTCGCTCTGCAATGGGAGTGCACTGCTGTTTGTAGGCATTTAGGAACGACGGTGAAAGAAAGATGGCAGCACCCGCACTATCAATAGTATCTTGTGGAAAAATCTATAATTCTAAAATGAGCTTTTAGAGGCAAAAGAAGGGTCCCAATTGTAAAATTTAACCATTAAATGGGTTATTTGTTGAAAGCGCATTCAAAGTAGCCATGAAAACAATTAGAATGCTCGCGCAGAGTTACGCGGAGGTATAAAAGAACGCACCCTTTATTACATTTTATGTTGTACGAGAGTTTTACCCAATTCCCGAACAGTGTTAGAGTGAACCCGTGCTATAAAAGCACCATGTTATATAGGGGATGTTCCCAATTCTCAAACAGTGTTAGAGTGAATCTGTGCTATAGAATTGCCGTGTTATATGGGAGTTACCTGTATATATTGTAAAAACTGCTTACAATACTGTATAATTAAATAACTAGCATTTATTTTCAAATTATTGTATAAATATATTCATTTAATAATCTATCATCAACAATTTAATGTAATTAATCCCTGAATATAATTGTTTCATAACTAATGCTAGTGTGAGCCGCCGGGGAGGTGGGGAAGTCCTCTCCTTCCAGCCACAGGTCGGTGAACTACTTTCTTGTCAAGGATGGCGTTTCATTCAGTTACGCGTTACACGAGTGGAGGGGAGTCGNTGGTTCCAGGAGAACGACGTAAGTCGAATTTACTCATCAGCCATAGTTGTAAAGTTGCAAAAATGTTTGGCTATTTTATTATTATAAACAACTAATCTTAAACACACATTCTGTAATCCTCTTTCTGTTTCATATTATATCTTAAGATATCAAGTGATTTCATAAAAATCAAAATATTACACATTATTTATCTTCAAAGTTATTTAATTAATGAATACATTTCGCTATAATTTTCAAATAATTCTTATTATTAAAAAATTTTTATTGATATAAAAAAACACTTACTTCAGTTTCTAAAATATAACTGTACAATTTATTAAGCTGTTGAATTTGTTCATTTTCTTTTCTTTCAATTCTCTCCACAGTTGTTCTAAGTGCATGACATTCTTCAGCCATTTCAACAATAGCCATAGTTAATACATCAGTAGGAACTGTTGATTCAAGAGGTTCAATATCCAAAGCTAATCTTATAGTCTCCATTATATTCATTTTAAAATTATCAAACTGAAATAAAACTATTATTATTAGAGTTTTAAAATTTTAGTATAATAATTCAATTCAAAACTTTATTTAGCATTTTAAAACTTTAATTATTTTATATAATTTATTAAAATAAATTGTCCTTTGGAATGTTAATTTTTCATAACTGATTATTAGCAATAATTCTCTTATTTTTCTCATTATTAATTTAGAAATTTCCATACTCACTATTAAATATTAAGTTTTACCTCATCTTGAACTTTTGTAATTTTCATTTCTAATTTATACTTTTCTCCCTCAACAATATTGAATTTTTCTTCCCAATTTTTAACAGAAGATCTCAATTCTTTCTGAGCCTATAATAACAACAATAATTAAAATTTAGAAATATTACTTATTATATTCATAAGTACTGTACATTTTTGTTCTATTCATTACAATAATTAATAGTAATAAATATTAAAGAATTTAAATAAATTGTAATTAAAATACTAAACTAAAATTACAAAAGTATCTTTAAATTCACTTTAAAATATTTAGAAAACTATTGAAATTAATATATAAAATTAATTTCAGTTTTAAAAGAATAGCACATTTTTAATTTTTTAAAAATTATTGCAAATTAAAAATAATTACATGATAGATGGTTGTTCCTCAATGATAAATAAATTTACCTACTCTGTATATAAAAATAAATAAATAAATAAAGTCATCCTTGACCTATGTTTACCACTGTCTGCACATTACAGAAGAAATCCATTAAAAAGAATTAGGTTAAAAACAACAAATAAAAAGGTACATATTTAATAAAACAGTATAAAACAAACAATAATAAAATTAGCCATAGCATGAACAATGTATAAGTATATAAAGTAAAATAAGATAAAAAATAAAACAAAAGTCTAAGCTAGGCATTACAATATAAAATATATTTAAGAATTTCTTAAACAATCTTCTAGTTGAAAAGTATGAGAGATTGCTTGATAAGAAAAAGATCTCTGGGTGAGACAATTAATAGAATGGAGGGCAAAGACAAAAATGTGTCTGGGTAATGCAACTAAAAACATGTAAAAAAAATTTTGTCCAAAAAATAACACTGGAAATGTTTAAAATTTGAAATATTTTGATCATATCCTATTCTAGCCTTTGACAGAGGAACATCTGACCTGGACCTTGAAACTTCATTGCAGTCAATGTATGGTAAATTTGAAAATTTATTTACAGATGAACACATTTGTATGAATATACATGATGGCTGTTAACCATATCATTAAACAATAATCAACTAGAAATTAGTAAAATAAAAAAAATTGCTCGGAGAACTAATTGATCAGAGATGCATAGANTATTCCCGACACCTCCACGGCCGAGGATCAAACTGAGCTTACTTAAGCCTGTTTGATTCCCTTCACAACACCAAACAATCTTACAAAAATCGTCCGATGTCGGACTGACCCATACATCCGGAACATCCGGGAATTTTACCCGTCTACGCGCAGAGATGCCTTTGTTACCTATGCCTACTAACCGCTTTCGTAAAGCCACCGCAATCCGGTATGGGATAAACCGTTTCGGGATCCACCCTCCAGTAAGTGTCCAGATGTTTTTCTTTTTCGGTCTATTACCGAAAATCGAGTTGTAATCATCCGACCCGTTATTCTGCTCCGTCTGTGCCGACGTCGGGGGCAGTGGAGGAACTCTCCTTACTCTCCCGTCCCATCTTCCGCGATCGTACAGCTGTCGCAGGGACGGAGTTTGAACCAGTTCTCCGAATCTTCCGTCGGAACCAAGTATTATTCTTACAGTGAAACTTCGCTTTTCTACTACATCTGGCCATTCCCACCGGACATCTAATTTGTCATCCGGGGAAGACTTTTCCACGAGAACCGTATCCCCGATGGTATGTCCCCTTTTCCGTGCTTCCACGTTGTAAGGCACCGCATACTCTTCTCGTTTTATGTCCGTATGCTTAGTTGCGATATCGTGAGCCGATTTGATCCGATCTACTTCTACATTCTCCCCTTCTAACATACGGGTCATTTCACGCGTCAACCCTACGGTGAAATTAGTCCCCTGATCGTAACAAATCATTTCGGGAAAACCCGTCTGTGTAAAGAATCGCAAAAATACCGAACAGGTGACCAGCGATCTCATCCCTTCTACTTCTGACAAGCGGTTGCATAAACTGATTATGCCAACTGCGTATCGACGACCGTTAGCTGACAAGTGATCAATCGGTACAACCACGCCTATGGTAACCACTTGAAACGGGGTTGAGGATCGAGCAAGTGGTGTAGCTGGGGTCCTATCTAGGACTAAATCAGGCGCACTTACTTGGCACCTACGACTATTCCGGCAGTACTTCCGGATATCGGTCGCCATTCCCGGCCAATAGAAGCCCTCGCGCATGCGACTTGCCGATTTCCGACTGCCTAACTGTTCACCGCACGGAGCTTTGTGTACTAAATCTAGCACTTCCGCTCTCCGATCTTGGGGAACAACTATCTGCTTAATGGGCCTGCCGAACCAACTATCTAGCCGATATAGTATTCTGTTCTCTACAGTTAACCCATCTTTCTTACACTTAGCGGCCTCCCACAATCGAGAAAGTGACTCGTCCCGGACTTGAGCGTCTCGTAATTCCGTTTCTTTCTCATTTTCGTCACTATTTTCACTGCACCCCGCCTCTGAGAGAGGTTCCGGTTCCTTTCCCCGATGGTTTCCGTTCCCATCTACCTTTGAGCCCTTTATATGTCTTTCTCCCTTCTCCTGGAGTTTCCCTTTTCGGTCTAATAACATCCGGTGATCCCCTTCTGATACTAGAGCGTCCGTGGGTTGGTGTAACTTGTCTGTTACGACACGAGTCACCATCGCCGGCTCACACGATACTGTGAGGTCTTCCTCCCACAGCCCTACCGGGATCATTACCGAATCAATCCGGTGACCGAAGGATCTGCCCTGTTGGGTTTCACCCTCCGTTTCCGTCGCCAATCCGATGACCGAAGGATCCAACTCGTTAGCCTTGTCCCTTCGTTTCCGCCACCGATCCGGTGACCGAAGGATACAACCCATTGGACTTCCCCCTTCGTTTCCGTCACCAATCGGGTGATCGAAGGGTCCAGCTCGTTGGACTTCTTCCTTCGTTTCCGCCACCAATGATTCCCTTATGACCGAAATCTCATCCCCAGAATCGACTATAACCGAAAGACATTTCCTGTCGCCTACCGGCTTGATTCTTTTAGGCGCCTCCTTGACCTTTGGTCGGTCACACGCCGTTACCCTCGCTACCGGAAGTTCGTCTTTTTGGGATGTCTTGTTCGTAGTTACTACCCGTGCCCGTTTGGACTCATTGGATGCCTTCCGCTTAGGACAAGCTCTCCTCCAATGCCCAGCCCTGCCACAGGCACTACAACTAGCCTTGGGGGTCCGTTCGACCGAACTCTGTGTCGAGGGAATGGATCTCCTCGTCATTCCACTCTGAGAATCCCGTCGCTCTCTAACCTCCTCGCTGTTACCGGCCAACCTACTACCTGACACCTCCCCAAACTTCTCTGTGACCTTAGCTACTTCCGCCGGCTTTCCCCATCCCTGGGAACCTGAGTCGTCTAATTCCCTCTTACCGACCTGACCCGCCGAGCTCTGCGCCTCAAAAAGCCGCCTATCTTGCTCTAATAGGCGTTTCGCTTCCCTCAACTCGGCTTCCGGGCGTTCAAGCCGTAGTTTTTTTCGCTCCGCATTGATTTCTGCCAACCTGGCCTTGGCCTTAGATTCGATTTCTGTTTTCTGCCGGTCGGATTCCGCTGCCCTCACCTTGGCCTCAGATTCGATTTCTGCTTTTTGCCGTTCTGTTTCCATTTTCCTCTCCTCGGATTCCGCGAGTTTAACCCGTAGTCTAAGCGCTTCAATGTCCTCCCGAGATTCACCTCCCGGCCCTCCTGCCTTTCGTCCCTTGATCGGCCCATCATTTTCCCACTCCCCTGTTTCTAAACCTCGCGCTTTCACGCGTTTGGGCATCTCTGCGGTAGCGAATAAAATAAAGTTTTACCTGGGTCAATGATTGCCGGTGTTGTTCGGTTCCTTTCGTCGCAGATCAGCCTTTCCGATCCTTGGTAATTCGAAGTACGTAATCCTGTCGTAATCCTGTGTAATCCTGTCGAGTCTGCGCCAGTCAAATTAAAATACTTCTTCAGAGTCAGTTGAATTTAAAACTTGTATATATATTAAAACAAAAACGTATGTACAGTTACAATTAAAGTTCACATATAAGAATTACAAACATTAGATATTAACAAAGTTCAAAGTAATCATCCACTGCTACAGGTTCGTCGGAAAAGCACCTTGCGACGCACAAATTCAAAGTCTACAACAACACAACAAGATGAGACGATCTTCTAAGACAGCTCCGGCAACTAAGGTCAACGTGAGTTCATTCTACGAGTCCAAAGCGAACTAAACTTCCCGCCAGAACTTCACTGCTTTTATAGGATTGAAGCTACCTTGAACTCCACCAATCAGCATCTACCAGCTGTATAAGACGTCCGCCGATCGTCCGATGTTTCTTAACCAATCAGCGGTCGAGTTTTCAAAATGTTCTGATCGCCGTTCCCATGGCGACAACGGTCGTTCACGAAAAAGGCGGGAAAACCGCGCGCTAGATGATTTTCATTCCCGACAAATGCATTAAAGAATCAGCATCAACAACTGTTTTAGTAATAATAAGTAATAAGATTTTTGTTTCATTTTCTTATTTTCAAGAGATACAACTTTGCAATATACTGACATACAAATTTCATCTGATTCTGTTGGTGCATCATTCATCAGCCAGTCAAACATGAAGTGATTGCTTTACCATCATTTTATTTATTTTTTCATGTTTTGTAAAGAATTTGTAAGGTTTATAAAATGTGTATATATGTGGATTTTTGATTATTTGAAAAGGTTCTTCAATATTTAAAAAGCCCAAAAATTTCAGTTGGCACATGAGAAAATTTTTCATTATAGATTTGGCAATTTTGGCATATGCACTTAAAAAGATTGCCTACCTCTGTCTTACAGAAACATGTTAAAATTAAAGGACATGTTCCAAAATACAAATAAAAAAAATTGTCATATTACATTCTCTGATAAAATAATTGTTCCAGCATTTTCAAAATTAGAGTTGTTGTCAAATGGGAACACACAAAGCATATGACCATCAACATANCGATTATTTAATTTCATGTTTTGTAATTTAATCATATTTCTAAAAGTGTTTTAATACTACTTTAAATTAAAATTACAGTATAAAATTTCTTGAAAAGAATTTTTCCACAAGAGATATATCAATTGTAATGTTCTGGATAAAGTAAATAAGAGA